AAATAAAAAAACTAACCCAAAATGCCCCCGCAAGTGCCGCGGAGCGGATGGGAAGTGTGTGCGGAGGAAATGCGGAGCTTTGTGTGCGCGCTGCCCCGGCCTGGCGGCGTGCGGATGGGGCGGGATGCGATATGTAACACAAGGAAAGCGCCGCGTGGGTCGATGATGGTAGTTACCTGAAGGAAGAACACTAGCTTGCTTTTGAAGGGAGGGATTTGGGCATAGGCGACATCTCAATTTTTATATATGTTATTCTTTCAGTAGGCTTTGATTTCGATAGAAGATGGACTGGAGTGGAAAGCACAATGGGCCGAACGATGCAACCAATGATGGAACGGTGGTACGGCTGCGGGGTCTGCCTTTTGGCTGCAGCAAGGAGGAGATTGTTCAGTTTTTCCAAGGTACCTCTAGTATAGTCGAAGTCTAGTGCGTTTCTTTAGTGTTTTGTACTTTTTACACGATGTTTTGCTCATTTTTAATAGCTGTTAATGGGGTGGATGGGAGGGATTCTGTTAAATGGGTGTGTCTAAAGTAAGAATGATACCTTGTAAAGTAATCACAAGTAACCACAGATAGAGTAAAACACAGAATGTATCTAATTTTGTCGAGGTGGTAAACGTGCATATTGGGGTAACCTGAACGTTAGCATTTGGATCAGTTAAGTTGCTTGATTGGTAGCTATGTTTTCTTCATGTAACTGAGGTGATTATATATTTGCATTGTTTAAACAGAAAAGAAGTAGAGCTAAACCATAAATGTGTAATGAAAGATCATTGGGCTTGTATTGTTGGGTGATGGGGGAACCAAGGTGGTTTTCTTTTTCGTTGTTGTTGTGTAGATATGCTTTAAGTATTTGCTACAGATGGGAATGTTTCAGCCTTTAACACTGTTCCCCTTGATGGGGTTATTTGTCCTTGGGTTAAAGGGTTGGAAATCGTGCCAAATGGGATAACATTGACGCTGGACTACCAGGGGAGAAGCACAGGGGAGGCCTTCGTGCAGTTTGCTTCAAAGGAGATAGCAGAAAATGCTCTGGGGAAACACAAGGAAAGAATAGGGCACAGGTGGGGATGGAGAGTTTGGGATGGTGTTAAATCTTTATTTTTTCGGGGGTTGTGGGTCAGTAATGCTTTTGGGGGGTTGGGGACCATTGGGGAATTGGCTTGTTTTTAAGAATTTGTATAACTGGTCCTAAGTTAACTTGGGAAATATAGTAGATTTGGGGGGTGGGGGAGACAGTATTGCTCTGGGTAGTTTGCTAAACTCAGAAAATTGTTTCAATCGTTCCTGTGTAGGGTAATTTGTGATAAATGCTGCTATAGCCAGACATTGTTTTTCAACAGTATGTTTCTCATACTGGAAAGACGTATTTTATGCTTAATTTGTACAGCTACAATTGTTACACAGTAATTTTTGCCACCATTAAGTGTGGGGTTTTTAATACACTTAAGATTCTTACAGTTTTGAGGAGTAACTTAAGTTGTATGGTATCTCTAGTCACTGCCATTGGCTTGTACGTTTAGCTATAGAAAACATAGTATGGCCTTGTGTAAAATTCAGACAGCTTCTGCCTGTGTTCTTACTGGTGCCTTGAAAATCCTCTTTCACTAGATACATTGAGATCTTCAAAAGTAGTAAGAGCGAAATCAGAGGATTCTCTGACATGCCAAGAAGAATGATGGGACAACAGCGACCTGGACCATATGATAGACCATTAGGAGGAAGAGGGGGTTATTATGGAGCTGGGCGTGGAAGTATGTATGACAGAATGCGTCGAGGAGGTGGTGGATATGACGGTGGTATGTTTACCTAATGAACAGAGGTTCTGTTGTCAGTTTCATGTTCCTGACATGTCAACAGAAGGGGTAGTAGCTGCAGTACCTGCTACGTTTGCTGTATTTATTTCAAAAGACTTGTATCAAAAATGTGGCTTAGTGTTTAAGATTAACATAAACAATAAGGAAAGTGTTTTTGGCAGAATATAGCGTCGCATTTGCATGTTTCAGTCTCCGTTACGTAAAAAGAAATGTACTTCTGCACAATGTTCAGAAATCCAGATGTAACAGTCTGCAGAGGCTGTTTGCAAAGTGTTGGGTGCCCAAAGACTGTAAGTTGAGTGTTGTGCATTGCACTGGGAATTCTGAGTAGTCATGTAATCGCTCCTTTCTTTCTCTTCACTGCACAGGGTATGGTGGCTTTGATGATTATGGTGGCTATAATAACTATGGCTATGGAAACGACGGCTATGACGACAGAATGAGGGATGGGAGAGGTAAAACAAATAAATAGTTTGTTTGCAAAGATTTTTCTGTCACTCGAGTTGTAAGACACTGTATTTTGAAGACAGAAATTGTGGCCTCATGCTATTTTATAAGGCAAGACGGTTGTTTAGAAAGGGGGGATTGTAAGAAACTAAATAGGTCGCTTAAGACGTGTTCTGGTTCTGGTTTGGGTGGATACATGGAAAGCGTAAACACTGTGCACTCAGTGGTACGATTGAGTGCTTTCTGAAAAACACTAGTGATGACTTTTGGCTTCTCCTGGTCTTAGAGGTGTGTGGGTTTTTTGGTTTGGGTTTCTCTCTAGGCATGGGAGGCCACGGCTATGGAGCCGGCGACGCGGGGTCGGGTTTCCATGGCGGCGGTCACTTTGTTCACATGAGGGGATTGCCTTTCCGAGCTACGGAGAACGACATTGCTAACGTGAGTACAGCGGAGAGGGCTGCGCGCGTCCTGTCCTCTTCAGCTCAGACAAGTGACTGAGACCTCCTCCTGCTAGAGCCACAGCCCTTAATGTTGTGAGCTGCACAAAGTGAGGGAGGTGGTACAAAGGTGCTGTCCGAGGCAAGGTTACCACAGCAGTGAGCCGAGCTGCATAGAGTGTTAATCCCTGGGGTGTCTGCCCTTCTGTTCCGTAAGGTCTGTTGGCTGCGGCAGTTCCTATCCTCATTTTAAGGTTTTCAGTTTATGCTTATCTGACTTTGTGAACAAGTGACAGCAGATGTGAAACTTACATTGCTTAGTTTGCATGTTTGTTGACCTTAGACTTTATTTTAGGTGGGACAGGGCAGGAAGACTAGGGAGCTGTGTGCGGTTGGTATCCCATGGATTACAAGAGATCAGGGTGGCAGATACCTGCAGGATTTTGGGAATGCATTCTTGTGTCAGTGTAAATGTGTTGTTTGTAGGGGGAAAAGCTTTCTTGGGATACAAGGTCTGGCTTAAAGACAGCACACCCCTGGAGAGGCTGTAGTGTCAGTTCCACCTATATATTGTATATACAGAACTCCATTCTAAAGCTTGTGCTTGTTTTCCTTTTTGGGTGGGTTGGTTGATCTGTTTTAAACAGAGATACATTTTCTCACGTCAGTTGGATCGGTTTTAGTCTAAAGACTCTGAGAACAGGGGCTAAATGTCAGGCTTTGATTTGGGGCAGTGAGGAAAAGCAGTGTGATGGACAGGCAGCTTTGAGAAATCTGAGGCAGCAGAGCCAAATAAGTAGTTTATTTTCCTGTCCAGGATGGCATCACGTTAGACTGTGTTGCTCAAAAGCAGTGTGTGTGGGCAGGAATTGTTTGTATCTTTGCTTTCAAAGAAAGCCCCTTAAGCTTTGTACCTGCAGCTGTTCAAGCTGTGCCCTGATAACGGACTGAGTGTAGACTGACATAGTGATGAAGGTCCTCTACCACCAAGTAAGGATTAGGAAATCAGTAAATAATTCATGTGGTAGGATGACATTACATTGATGCAGCACATCACTAACCACAGGGAGGGGGAAAAGAAGTACCTTGCTTGAATTTGAATGTGATTTTGTTTTGGTTTGGTTTTTATTCTTAGTTTTTCTCACCGTTGAACCCTATAAGAGTTCACATTGATATTGGGGCAGATGGAAGAGCCACTGGAGAGGCAGATGTGGAATTTGTAACACACGAGGATGCAGTAGCTGCCATGTCCAAGGATAAAAACCACATGCGTGAGTGTCGCGTTTGCCTGCAGCTGCCCTTGGCCGAGCAGGCTGAGCAGCACTTTGTGTGCAGCACACACATCATTAGGCTTTTTGCTGTGCAGCACAGTGAGACTCCCTTTCTGTGAGCTGCTCTGTTACCGTAAGGGGAGAGTGGGAGTTGCTTGGTATGTCTGCTTCTGGCTTCTGAAACCAAATACCAAGTAAGGCTTTTTTGCTTCCCACAGAGCATCGATACATTGAACTATTCCTGAATTCGACTGCTGGAGGTGGCTCTGGAATGGGAGGCTATGGCAGAGATGGAATGGGTACGCATCAATTGCACGCTTGGCTGATGTTTTGCTAAGTCTGATGAGTTCAAGCTTATAACAGTGCACTTTGGCTTTCCAGATCAAGGTTACGGCTCTGTTGGTAGAATGGGAATGGGTAGCAATTACAGTGGTGGATATGGAACTCCTGATGGTTTGGGCGGATACAGTAAGTAAAGGTTCTGTTACAAATCTTCTTTGGGAAGGTATTGCTAATGTCCATTTTGTGATGGACAGTGGGGAAGGGCTTTGAGCTGGGAGCAAGGAAGGAGGACAGTGATTTATTAAAACTGAATCACTTGGGGCTGTATGCATTGTGCTACTGCAGCAAATGCTGGTTAAGACATGTACTGGAGTACTGTTACTGTAGTGTAAGTTAAGTCATCTTCAGCCAACTGTTCTGTATTACCCATCCCATTTTTCTCTTTTTAAGGTATGTATGCGTGACCTTGTGTCAATTGTTTGCAGGTCGTGGCAGTGGAAATAGTGGAGGCTACTATGGGCAAGGCAGTATGGGTGGAGGTGGATGGCGTGGGATGTATTGAAGGATTGCCTTGCTTCTGCAGAGCGCCCTGGAAGAAACAGTCTCTGGTCTACTAGACTTTCTTACAAAACTTAATTTCTTTTGTATTTTAAGAACTTTATAATGACTGAAGGAATGTGTTTTCACAATATTATTTGGTAAGCAACAGATTGTGATGGGAAAATCTGTTTTCTGTAGGTTTTATTTGTTGCATACTCTGACTTTAAATAAATTTTTATATTCAAACCACTGATGTTGATACTTTTTATACTAGTTACTCCTAAGGATGTATTACATATTCAGGACTACAGTCGGTTAAGATGTTGTACTATGGTTCAATAAAGGTGGTTGTACTGTAACTCCTATGAACACTGATTCAGTTCTGTGTAATCTTGGTATAGTGAATACATTGGAAACACACTTGTTTAAGGGGAAAAGGTAGATGATTAGGTTAGTTTATTTGGTAAAGACCTTTCCTAAACCCTTTTGATAAGTTATATGTGATAGTTGCAACATGGCCTAAAGCTGTGGAGACTAAAAGTCCTTGTTCTGGCTTCCTTCCTCCTCCTGCCATGCTCCACCTGCAGCCAGGGCACACCTGTGCCCTCTGCTTCCACAGAGCCAAACAGCCACGTTTATTTCCATGCTCTGCTGTAGTGCTCCAGGTGCTGCATTTCACCCAAGTAACCTGCAGCACTAGCACAGCTTTTAGCTAACAGGACATAAGTAAGTCACATACTAGTTCATTTGAAGCTATTTACTTACTCTTTTTTCCACAAACATGCTTTGGGAGCAGTAGAGGATGTGGAAGCAAGTTAGATTTCTTTCTCGAATTTACTGTATTTAAACATGGTTCAGCTTGTTGCTGCACAGAGCTGATGTGTATTTGTTCAAAACCTTCCCAGCCACTCTAGGGCTGAGCTCATTAGAAGCCAAATCTCTGAAGTATCTGTAGGCCCAATACTTGTTCAGTAACACACAACCCAAACACATTGATAAAACTTTGTGCATTTGTGACATGTGAGATATGTAAGAAGCTATTGTTTGAAGACACTTAACATACCTGATGTGTAATGAAAAAGGTATTTATTCTTTTGAGCCAGTGTGATCTCCCAAATTAACTGCTTTGTCCTCAATGCCTCCCTTAAAATGTCATATGTGATCTTGGGTATTGCAAGTCTGTCACCTGTTTTGCTAGTACTGTGTTATATCTGTAATAAATGTCTTCTTGTGGGAGAGAGGAGAATGGAGTTTATTTCACTAGAGACTGTGTTCGTGTGTCAAAGAGGTGAAAGGGTAACTGGCACAGGAAGGTTTCCAAGCTCTCCAGTATTTCTGGCTAGGAAGGGGAGCGAAGAGCAGTTCTTAACCAGTGATCTCACAGGGTTTTGTTTGAGCTTGGTGTTCTTCAGAATTAGTGGGTTCTTAGTCTGTTGCTGAAAAAGCTGCAGTGTTTCCTAACACTCTAAGTGGCAATGGTCAGGACACAGCTAATCCAGTTACACAGGAGAACACAGCAAGGTGGAGGAAATATGCCCTTGAAGGAAAATGTTTTTCCTACTGGCACAGCAGACAGCTAAAATGCTGCCGGCTCTTTACTGCTGCCTCACTGGGATGGACACCTGGCATTCCATCTTCTGAGAAGGAATGCTGCCACCTCACTAAGATTCACCTGGAGGGCAGGCTGGGGGTGTGCTTTGGGCTGTTCTGTACAACCAGGCACTGCAGAGAGCACACTGCTTTAGTCCTGGTGAATGAATTAACACTATATGGGACAGGCTTGTCTTGTTCAGTCAGTGCTGAACCTTTCAGGCCACTTCAGCAGTGTTCAAACTGCAGAGGAATTGTTACTAGATAAAAACTATGCTGCAAGTCTTCTCAGTCAGTGAGGCAGGTGTAGGTTTCATGGCCATGTACAGGTGTATCTCAGCCTGGCCTGAGGAGCACCAGGAGCTCTCTGCTTGAGGAGTGGCAGTGCAAGCAGCAGTGTGGGCACTGCCAGAAACCCTCTGGGCTGTCCCTTTGCTTCCAAGCAGCAGGTGCAACACAGAAAGTGAAGCCTCACTGCTGGGCTGTGGGTACAGCTCCTGTGAGCCCTGTGCTGGGGAGGAGGAGCATATTTTCTCTGTGTCCCCAGTTCATGAAATCAAATTTCCCAAGAGGAATAAAACAAGATGCTCTGATCCCATCTAAACAGTTACAGGTTCTCTTGATGAATGGAGCAGGTACTCACAGCTCTTCCTGTGCTCTCTGAGGAGGATTTAGAATGAATCTGTCCAAGAGCAGGTTTGACAAAGACAGGCACAGGATTAGTCACGGTGTGGTCCAATAACCTCAAAAGCAGGCCAGGGATGCAGTTTGATGCCAAGGGAAATGAAACCACGTGGACCATCCAGTATTCACCAGTTTCCTCAAGGCAGAAGTCCTACCTGGAGTCAGTAAAAGCAATCTGAATAATTACACACTTTTCCCACACAAACAAGGCAGCAAAGGAAAAGACTGCAATTAAGTAACTGAAATTTAATTCATTGTATGTTACTGAAATGCACTGTATTCCTAGTTTAAAAGATTGCCTGTTTTAAAATCACTCCTGGTTACCTGTATACTTTCTGAAAAGTTACAGATCAGCATCACTCCATCCCACATCAAACCTGCCCCACATAAAGCACACTGGAAAAGACTCAGAATACCTGTCAGGAGGCACCTGAGCAGCACCTGATTGTGTCTTCAGCAGGGTGGCTCCCCACTCATAGCACAGGAAGAGACTTTCTAAGCAACTTGAACAAGCCATAATAAAATTAAATACAATACTCTGAACTATAAACAAAGTGACATTATTCCCATAATTAAGTTTATTTATTTCCAAAAGTTATTTACAGATTTACAGGTATTTGTTTAGCATTTTACAAAAAGTTACATCAGGTAATTTTAAAAACATTTTTCTTTACAAAAGCTACATAAGCAACTACACTGAGGTGTTAAAAACAGCAGCTGTCTTAGCTTCTTGGATATTAACTACATCCCTATCCTCAGAGACAAAGCTAAGCTAAACGGTGCAAGGACAACTAAAAGCCTCTCCCTTTTCCTGTGGTAAGAACACTCCAAGCCCAGAGCTGAAGGAACTACCAGGCTGGTGGCTCATCAGTGCTGCCCAGAGCACGGAGGTCCCCCAGCTGGAGCCCTGCACACAAGCAGCTGAAGGGGAGAGGGTACAGTGCAGTGAGATGTGGGGACAATTACCAAAGGATATTGTTCTATTTGCCTAGGGA